GTGTACTACTCCTGTCTCTGCTGCTGATGTGTTGCAGGACCTTAGACAAGGTACTCCGGAGCTTTTATGTGCCTTGAACTTTTGTCTGTGTCTATGGTTAATCCTTGTGAATTCATGCTTATAAAGACAGTGCTAAAGGAAGCAGAAGGCTTGAATCCCTTAAATGTAGATAAATTCAAGCAGGTAAGTATCATGGTAGAATGGCTGATAGAACTGGAGAGATACAGCTTGAAAACAGAGCTCGATAAAATCATTATCTGTTGTATACAAGAAGCCTGCATTAAAGGAAACTGTAATTTCCTGTCCTAAACAGAATTACATGCAGCTGGAATTTCAGCTTTTTGTGTATTATCAGGGATGGATGTGCCTCAGGACTTGAAATAGGGAACACAGAGTTCGCATTAGTAACACTCTGAGTTGGCCAACATCTTGACTTACCTGTAGGCAGTTGGAGCCACCACAGGCAGAACAGTTTGGGCCAGCCACTGAGAAGATTAAGATGTAAGTTCAGACAGCTGCAAGGACAGGGGTCTTGTGACTGGTGTCTCTTTCCTCTTGGTTGCAGACTTGACCAGAAAAGTGGTCTTTCAAAGGCAACTAACTGTGCTGCTTGGTTCCATGCAGGGTTTTTTGAGGTTTCTTTAATGTTTTCTCTTAATGCAGCATGAATCATGATGCCTTGTGCCATCACTGCAATATCCCTTGTGTGATCTGTGGAGGACAAATGATGTAGTCTTACTTCTGGGAACAAATGCTGAATTTAGAAATTTTATCTGTACAGGCTAGAGGAAAGGGAGGCGGGAAGAACTGGCAAGCAAGCCACTGACAGGCAAGGCCATCAACAAAGGATTTTGTAGGAGGAATGCAAGACATATATGGCTAAATATTTGTTCTCAGTGTACTTTGTGCCCTGAAGAACATGTGTTTTTCTGACTTCTTTCTCCAGAACACTAATAACTAGACCATCTGTTTGCCTCTCTAACTAAGAGCAAAACCCATGAAAATCCACCTTGAAAAACAATTAGAAATTATCAGCTGTTTGTTTTAACATTTAATAACTGTAATTAGCAAACCTAATGTCATGTTTGATTATTGCAGCCCATGTCTGTGAGCCCTGTGGGAGGCAGGAAATGGGACATATTGATCAGAGCAGTTGAGACTCTTCCTTCCATTTTTTATTTTCTTTTAAAACAATATGCTGAGTAGTTCCCTGAAGAGACTGTGCAGGCAAAATTGGTGTTGAGATCATGGCTGACTTAGGGTGAGATTAGCCTGCTTGGGTGGACTACTAACAAGGAGAGACAGAGTTTCTATAGTATTTTATTTCCTGACTTTTAGCCTAAGTGATATGAACCTCTAGCGCAATGGACTAAGAGTGAGAAAACTTCATTCCTACTCTACTAGGCTGAATTTCCTGTCTGTCTACCTCACTATTCCCCTCAGTTAAAAAAGGAGATCATAATAAAGAAGACGAAAGGTGTGTACTCCCTGTACAGCCAATGCCAAAAGGTTTTCTTCTCTTTTAGTTGCTGTTGCTATCTGTCTGATGGCTCCATTAGAGAAGATGAGGTTCCTAATATAGGCATGTTAGGTGTCTAAAGTTCAATGATAGTAATATCTCATTTAGTCTGCCTAGAAAAGCTGAGATTTGTGATTCTAACGTGCAGTGGAAAAGCTACATATTAGTAGTACTTAAGAAAGTAAAACTCAGTTACTGAACTCTGCAAGTCCTATGGTGAATTAAACATACTGTGGCTTGTTCTGGAAGAAACCTGACATTTCTTCATATTGGCTCTTCATAAAATTGTAAATTATGCAGGCATTCATAAAAATTAGGGATTTCTCATGAATAATTTGGAAACAAGTGGAGGATTTTCATGCACTTGTAATAATAATTTCACCCTGTTGCTCAAAGCATAGAGCAGTGCTTTTATCACAAATAAGACATTTATTTCTAAACCTCACATTTCTTGAGATTTGCCCCATGTCTCCTTGTTCTGTGCCATAGGACTAGAAGGAATCAGTCCAGGCACTTGTTTATCATCCATACTCCAGAAACCTCCAACTGGGTCATCATGTAACCTTCCTCCTCCAACAAGAATTAACCCATTCTCTTCAGTCTGTCCTGGTAACTTTTGACTCAGCGCTAGAGCCTTTTTTAATCCTGCTCCCATGAGGACAATCTAGGTGAACTGTTGGGGGACAGTTTTTATCATGAAGCAAAGACAGGACAGGAATGTTCTGGACTCTACTTAGTTTTCCTCAGCTGAAATCCTTGTGTTGTTGTTAGTAAAAGGGTCAGGAATTTTCTGGGTTTTTTTTCTGATTTAACTTTTTTTCAGGGCTGCTGGGCTGTGGGAAGCTCATGGCCCTTCTCAGGTGTTTCATAACCTGGGAGAGGAATCTAACTGTAGACTTGGATGTCTCCTGATCTGACCTCTTAGTGCTTTTCCACTTTGTACAAATATTTAAATAATTACAATGGAGGAGGAGAGAGAGCCTGACTGAGTAGCGGGTAGCATGTGCTTCTGGGATGCAATTCAAGTTCAGGTCTCTGCTTCAGTGAATATCTGGAAGCTTTTGAAAGCCTTGGTTACATCTTGATATGATGGGAGATTTTTCAAAACCTTGAAAAGCTTCCTGTGTTGAAAAAAATATTTCCCTCCAGCTTTAGTTACTACATTGGTCTGCCATTCTATAGGCTGGCTTGCTTTTCTGTTGGACACATCATGCATGATATAATGGGTTTGGCATTGTTGCAGTGCGGGAAATAATCTTAATAAAAGGAGAATGTACTGAAAATGGGGAAATTTAAAATATGTGTATGTATACAGGTCCGAAAATAAAAATGAGCTTATTTCCTTGTAAATTGAATCCTTGTTACGTTACACCCCCATTCTCATGCTATGTGGCAGAGGTATGGTCAGCCAAGGTGACACCAAATTCCCATGGACCTTCCTCACCTCCATAGTATGAAGCCAGAGGCACAGAGATTTGGCTGGAGATTAGACAGGACAGTTTTTGTACTCTCATATGTACTCCCTGGTTGCACGAGAGCTCAAAGTGAAGATGGACTCTCATTTGCCTCTTCTGATTTGTATACCTGGACAATTCAGATATGACCTGGCTCCAATGGAGAGCTGCATGGTGTAGCCCTTCAGGTATACAGCATCCACTGAAAACTGGGAATTTCAGTGCTTATGGACAGTAGCACAGGGTCAAGCTGGCACCTCTGTCCACATTGTTGAAGTTTATGTAACAGACTTTGACTTGTACAGTCTGCAGTGCTGTAGAAAACTCTTCAGACAGGACATAACAATTAAGAAAAATATTTTTATAAAAGTATATATAATAACAACTTTGCTATTTGTAGCTGCTGCTGTGTGACTCTGGTCATATAGAGAGACACTTTGTGCTAGAAGGTGAGCCTGTACCTATTGTGACATCAACTGAAAGGACAGTTTCAGAATAAAATGGGCAGGGGGTATATTGTCAGGTGGGAGCTGGATCTACAAGTGACTTCTCTGTTCTGGAAGCAGGGCCAGATGAAAAACCTGTGCTTGGAGGTACACGCGTGTATCTTGTCAGTTTGGTTTCTGGTTTGTCCAGCTGCAGGAACTCCTGCCATATCAGGCATCTCCTTGATTCATGATCTAAATTCTGCTCAGAGCAATTCTTTGTCCCATGGTGATAGAGGATACTGTTTTTCCAAGCACACGTGTGCTCTCATGCTAATCCTACTCTTCCAGAAGAGCCTCTTAGAACTCTTCCTATTAAATTAGGGTGTTTAGGACCCCTACAGAAGTCATGCACACCCAGAGAGCGGGCATCCTGTGTTCAGTGTGAGAGAACACAGCACGGATGGGTGCTGGAGGTGTGTGTGCCCCTGCATAGCTTTTTCTTCTTCTTGCCCAGGTAAATTAGTTCAGAGAAGCACACAATCTTGCTTTCTCAGGCATGGCATTTCTGTTAAAGGGATTATACTTCCCATTGAAAAGTGCAAACTCATCTGCATTTTTTGCAAGGTCCTTGGAGTTCTGTGCTAGCTTTTTGAAACTGTGGTTTTGCTATGACTATTTTCCTAGATAGCAGTGCAAACACATATCTAACAACACACAGTTCCTGAAAAAGTCCTGTAACAAAATGTGAAGAAAGACTCAAACACTGAATGAAGCCCTAGATTTCAGTTTCAAGCTTACTAAACTTTATTCACAGTAGAGAATAATATAAAGTGCTTTAGATCAGATTTTATTCACCCCTATATTTGTGATTGTGTAATTCAGGATAGAGTCATTCCTTTATGGCTAAGCCTTTATGGCTAAGACGATTGCTGTAAAAGATTAAGTGCCAGACACTGGCAGTTTAAAAGGGGTGAATTTTAAGACAGGAAAGCTACAGGAAAACAACAACAACAACAACAAACCTAAAAATCATTTGAGTTGCCAACGACACTGTCTAAAATAGAAAGCATAGGAGGCATGAACTTCTAATCAAACTGTCAATTTATAATGAATTGCCTGATAGATTCGAATGTTTTATTGCATAAACACTGGGATTCATCGCTTCTAACTGGAGAGACCCTGTAAATTATCTGGCAATGAACAATGCAACACAAAGTAACAGTGACAAATACTTTCACTTTCTTGGTGTCGACCAGTTTAAAACCATCCCCACAGTAGGACTTCATTAGCATTGCCTGCTTGGATTGGTAGTTATATTAGATTTGATGGGATTAGGCGAAAGTCAGAAGAAATGCTGGTAGCAATTTGCCCTGTGTGTTGATTTTCTTTCTTTTTTTTTTTTTTAAATTTTTTTTTAATTTCCCCCCTTTGGAGCGCCAGCAAATAGAAGCATGTCTCCCTCAATTAGGCAAGCCTGAAAGCTACAAAGAATCATGGGCTCTTGAATGTGCCGTAATTTATGTTTATCAATTCAGTGCACAGAGTTTTTTTGACATGTGCTTCCTGCCTGATTTTCTAACAATCCTTTCTTTTCTGCAGGTGGCCGTGATAAACGAGGTGGTCCTGTCTTGACCTTCCCAGCTCGCAGCAATCATGACAGAATAAGACAGGAAGACCTTCGGAAACTTGTGACTTACTTGGCCAGCGTGCCAAGGTAAAGCTAGAAAGAAAACACTTCAAAGCTTGGGGTGGATGGGTGGGTGGGGAACTTGTTCTTGGCAGTTAGTGGTTTCCAAGTATTAACATTTAGTACCTTCAGTTCTTGGGACAGTAAAACAAAAGTGTTCCCTTCCTCCTCCTCCTGTGTATGCTCTGATGGTTTTTTTTCCTCACTCGTGGCAATGGAGGAGCCCCAGAGTGGAGGCAGGGTGAGCAGACCCGGGCTGCAGGCTCACGAGAGCAACGAGAGCTCTCCTTCCCCATGTTTCCTCACAGCTCTAACAGCGGAGTGGAAAGGGGAGAGAGTGCTTAGAAGTCTGCAGTTAAATATAGCAAGCTGGAAGAGCTTGCTGTCTGCTCTTTCATTCTAATATATTGTGGGAGGTTCCGGAGAGCTGGGGCAGGAGACTGTTGCTGCTGGGCAGGACACCCTGCCTCATCAAACAAGGCAGATCTTCCTGCTCTAGCACTTCCCAGAGCTTTCTCCAGGCTCAGGAAGGAACACGGGTGCACTAAGGAGGAAGCTTTCAAAAAAAGACATTTCAAATGGTTCTGCATGTAAAACAGCACCTTTCCTTATATTAGTCCCCATGTCCCTCCTCCAACATGCAGGTCCTCATTCCTTTCCCAGGGACGCTGGAAGAAAGGTCTGTTGCCAGTTCATATTTATCTTTGCAAGCTTTGAGAGACAGTTTATAGGGCTCAGTGCCCAGGTAGGTGTTTCTGAGCCAATGTTTATTGTCTCTGAGAGCATGTACACCCACATCCAGCTTCCTTTCCCTATTTGCCAAATATCCTTACCTAATAACCACAGCACCAGTTATTGAGGCAAAGGTTATCCCAGGGCAAGCGAGGGGCTGAAAAGTGATGTTCAGGGTTGCAATAACATGCTCTGTGCCACCCTGGAGCTCTTCCTTTTTTAAATCCAGGATATGGCCTGTTGAACAGTGCTCATATTTTTGCAAAGTGTAAAGTTAACACCTGAAGGGCAGAGAGGTTGACTGAATGTCAAAGTCAAGAGATAAGGGTCTCAGAAAAGCACTCAGTCCCTTAACCATGTGATGTGTGGTGAACAAAGGTCCCATGTTTGGTACAGAAGAGAGTTGAGGGCTGTTTGGAGATCCATCACTGAGCTGCGGAGAGTGAGGGTCAAATGCAGCTGCGTGTGCCAGATCTGCCCATGCTCGTCTCCTGGACTTCACAAGTCCTCTGGTGAGGCTTTTTTTCTGTTGCTGCTGTTGGACTTTGGCTCGTCAAAGTGTTACTAATAAGCTGAATTGGTTTGCTTTTCTCCCTCCTCCTCCCCTTTTTTCCTCTAGCCAGCTCTATTTTCAACCATATTGTGAGAGACATTACAGGCATGCTGTGAGTCTGGGAGGGCAGTAGGTCACTCTCCGGGAGTTCATGTCCCAGGGCTTGGCAATCCCCCTCCAGCTGCTGCAGTAATGAAACTGCTCCCTTACATCTTATCACTTTCTGCATGGTCACAAATACGAAGATATGACATTGCCTGGGGTTGTAAGCAATTGCACAGCAAAAATTACCTTCTACCATGTCAACCTTTCCCGTTAATTGCTCTTCCCACATGGAGATGGCAGTAATAGGAAGATACATCCCTTCTCTTCCCCACTATCACACAACTAAATTGATCAGCTCAATCTTCGATGCTGTTTTGGTTTGCCTCACTCTGAGCAATGTTTTTTTCTGTGATGATGCAGAAGCTGGAAGACCAAGGTGCATGCTGAAGGAGATAATAAAAGGTCCAGCTGCTTGTCTCCCTAAGAACACTATGAAAGCTTTCCTGCTCCTGGTGCCCACTGCAAAGCCTTATGCTGCCCTGATTGTTTGAAGCCTTTGAAGGACAGCTCTCTGCTTATACCAGAGAACGTTCCTTTCTCTGCAGTATAATCTCCCAACATGAAAATGTGCCCAGCAGTAAGGAAATGACTACTCATGGAGCACTTTCATCAGTTTCCCAAGTATCCTTGCAGGTTGGTTCTGTGGAGACATTAAGCAGAACACTGTTTGGGGTATTACACATTCAGAGCTGCAGCAGCAAGAGTGATCTAGAGTGGTCTAGAAAAAGTGGCCCATCAAGGACGGATTAAAAGGGTAGAGGTTGCTTAGCCTGTAGAACAGAAAAGAGTGAGAAGGGTCTCTGAAAACACATGATGCTGCAAAAGAAAAGGATTCATAGGCCTAGGACAAGAAATTAAACTGTTACACTGAAGCAAGGGAGGCTTAAGCTTGACATAAGGAAAAGATTCCTAAGGAAGACATAAGGAAAAGATTTCTAAGGAATTCCCATTAACACTAGAATAAGCCAACTAATTTTTTCTTAAATCCCTCCATAATTCTATAGGCAAACTTCTATGCCTGTATGTTAGGAAAAGGGGATGACGAATCAGGAGGTGACTTCTTTAGGTTCCTCTTAGTCCTGCTTTGTCTGGTGCCACAGCTGTGAACCCACTGCTGTAGGAGGGAAACATGACCACAGGCTTCATGGGTTTGGCATGTGGGATTGTGCAACCTGTGTGGTGTGAGAACAGTCAAAACTCATTTTCCATAAACATTTTGTACACCTTAATAAGGGCAACAAGCAGAGCTTTCAAATTTATTTATTTTTTTAGAAACAAATATATGGAAGGAACAGTTTGAATTCATATGACTGGCTCCCAGTTCATATTTATTCCAAGATGAGTGCTGTAATGAATACTTACATCAGCCATCCACCAAAATAGTTTCATTAGCAGATACTCCGAACAGGATGTCAGGAGAAACTGCTCTGAAATTCAGAGTGCTGAAAGGGGGAGAGTTTTCTGTGCTAGGTGAAAAAAAAAGAAATTATTCTTTAGGAAAAAAGGCGACTATAATTTATCATATTGATACCAGTATAATAATTCTTTGTTCTTGGTGCAGTGCTCTCTGAGTGAGACAGATTATTGTCCACGTTGATACTATCTGTCACTTAACCCTTGGTTTTTAGCTTTATGGACAGGGCAGAGGTGGTGCATTGCTGGGAGCTCTGAGCAGGTATGAGGCTGGTGATGAAATATGATGATAGATTAGGGTAAGTGAACCCAGGGTCTAGCTAGCAGCTTTCAAAGTTTCAGATTCAGCTTTCCTCAATTCCTTCTTCAAAAACTGGAATAGTAATGTGGGCTTTCTGAAAGCAGCAATGTGTGCTTGAGTCGGAGCCGCATAGTGAGGGCTTTCATGCAGCTGCCAGTCAGGGTCAGGCAGGTGCCTGCACTCAGTGGGGTTTCCTGCATGGCTGAGGTTTACTGCTTGGGGGTTAAGACTTCAGATCTAGGAACACAGTTTGTTCATATTCCAAAATAGTAACCTTGCAGTCCATAGTGCCTGGGGGGACTTAGGGCTCCTGGAAGACTCAAAGCCTGATCCTGCAGTCTTGGGTACTAGGAGGGGGTTGTGAGTGTGTGTCTCACACTGTGGACAAATGTGGTCCTAGTTTGATGCTGTACACTCATTCTTTCAGGCATATCGTGAGCTCCTTTTCTCCAGTTTCAGTAGAATTATTTATTAAGAAATGAAGATGCTGTTCCTTAGAAGTAGAGATAATTGGCACGGACGCCAGGTTTCTACCAGTCTGTCATTTTCTGCTAGTTTTACATTTGCACTGATGTTTTCTGGATAGGCAAAGCTGTATTTCTTGTGGATAGCTCCTATTTACATGCAAATTTAAATGGGATGCAATGTTTAGAAATTTGGAGGGCGTGACTGAATCTAGGATAACGTGGTGTTTATGATCAGGGGAGCCAAGGGGAAATTTTCTGGCCTCAATAAAGATTTTATTTTTTAACACTGGTGCAGTGCCATCTATTCCGGTAGACTGAGTTTTGATTTATATGTGTGTAAATGAAACTAGCACCAGGCCAATCTCCTCCGTGAGCCCTTTGGAATTAAGAATTAAGTTATGCGTAGGCTATAGGAGGATAAGAAGGAGACAGCATATTATTAGCCTGAGTTATCTCCTCGCACGGTGAAGCAATATGGTGAAGGAAATGTTCTCTGTCAGCTCTAGTGAATCTTCCGGCTGAAGACATCAATCTGCTTTGGAGCCAAGACAAGCAGTGCTCTGTGCTCTCTGCAGAGGGGGAAACCCGAGCTGCCTTGGGGGCCTGCATTTCTAAAGACATCTACTTTTTATTTGCCCTCTGTTTAAAAACCTACTCAAATATTTCCCTGTTCTGGGGCACATCCAGGGCTCATAACAGCAGCAAAATGTTTCCAAGGGACAGCCCTGTGTGTTTGAGCAGCTCCTTAGAGCTGCCTGAGCTGATGAAAGGTGCAAGGATCAGTAAAACAACTGAAGTGCCTCTAATAATTAGTTCAGTGATCAGGGCTTTATAAAATTAAAAGAACAATGCAGGGGATGGCAAAGTGTAGCAATACGCACTCTTAGATTTATTTTAAGCTCTTCTCTGATGACCTATGGCACTGCGTTTATTAGCTCCTCTGACTAGGAGTAGTGTGAAATTCATTTTGTTGATTGATAGGAATTAAACCCTAGAGCTCTGCTTTCTGTTATATGATCCTAGCACAAAAGAAGCTTTTGAGGATAATTTTTTTTCTGGAAGCTATTGTAGATCTGCAAAAATAGCCATGTAGTTTAAAAATAACACTAGGGACTTAGTACTAATTTTAGTAACTAAATATCTGGTGCTATCTATAAGATTTTTTTCCCACCTTACACTTGTATCAAAATACTGCTGTAAAAAATGAAGTGAAGCTAAGGGGGCTAATGGAGGTTTAGTATTTTCTTCAGATATAATTTGATTTATTTTTTTTTTTAAATGCTAAGTGTATTTTGGATAAAAAAGCTCATTAGGAGCATGTAACTGACATGAATGCTGGTGAGTTTAAGAGCCTTTTACCACTCGAAGGCCAGTTCAAATCCAGCCTCCATTTTACATGGTATTGGCACATGATATTACTGTGTTAGGAGTTGGGGGTCTCCCATGGAAATAGTTG